TTCTTTAAAAACAACCAAACAAACCAAAGCAAGCCTGTGGCTTTTCAAGCAGTGACAGTAGAGCAGGTACCTAACTCCAGGGAGCAAAAGTGAGCAGGTTAAATCTGTGGTCAGAATGGCCCACACTGATGGTGTTCATTTGTGGACGTTACAGCGTAGCTTGAGAAGAAGGAAAGACTGTTGCTGCTTCAACTACAGCTTCTACCTAAGCCTGTATTCTTGTTGTGTATTAACCCGAATTTCTTCTGGTTCACATTCCTTGTCTTAGACACTACCTTCGTGCTTACTGAAACTAGCCCATCTCCAGGAGTGGCAGCTTCACAGAACTAGTTTGCAGAAAATTCCTCACTTCATTGGAAGATTTCAGAGTCTTGTTGTTCTGGATCTGTCCCGGAACTCCATTGACAGTGTACCTAAAGAAATAGGTGAGCTGTGCTTTCTTGGAGTTTTAGCTGCCTTCCTTTCTTCCAAAACCCATCTTCCAAAAACGTGACGGTTTTGTGCACTTTGCCTGCCTGAGAATCCTGTTAGAGAACAGACAACTGAAATCTGACAGTGAGAGAGAGAGCTTGCGTCCATGGATCCCCTACAAATCCAAAAAGATGGCCAGCTGCAGGAGACTTGTCTTTATGAAAGCTCCCCATGAGACAAAAGCATGTAAGCACACGTGAGCACAGCAGGTACTGAACATCAGAGTGCAGCTGGAAAAGCGCCATTGAAACATACGTAGTGAGAACACGTTGCACTTGCAGGACAATGAAAGGGATAACACAAACCAAGTAACACTGTATTTCAAATGGAATAACCATTTCTCGTTTCTCATTTTGCTCTCTGCAGGCCAGCTGACTAGCCTCCAAGAGCTGCTTCTCAGTTACAACAGAATCAGATCTGTTCCTAAGGAAATAAGTAACTGCGCCAAGCTGGAAAGACTGGAACTGGCTGTCAACAGGAGTATCTGTGATCTTCCTCCTCAGGTTCTGACAGACTAGCTTGTTTGGTTTAGTTTTGTTGAATGCCTGTTTTGAATTACCATTAAACATGGCACTCCGTGCTTTCAGATTTGCTTTGGTATTGATTTCCCAGCCACGCCACAGAAACACAGTATTTGTAAGACTAGTCAAACCAGAGCCAGGTGAGGAGGACATAATTTGTCCAGATAAAGGACTTGGTAGTGCACACAGGACAGTGATACACTTGATGTTAATTTGTTTAGGCTGAAGGTCTTGGCTGATTTATCCCACTGAGGACCTGATGCTTTAGCACAGATCCCTTTATGGCTGAGAATACAAACTCATACCATCCACCAGGACACAGCTGAAAGCATCTTTGCCAGAGCTGTTACCTGTGAAGAGGGGTTGTGTGATTTATACAGCTGTCTGTGCACAAAGAGTGGAATGAATGTTGTTCTGAGATGTTAAGAGAGAATAAGAACAGCTGCTCACCTGCCACTGAGCTTTCATTTGGACTGACCTAAATGTGAGAGAGCCCTGCACCTCTAGGTATTAGACTCTTAGATAGAGATGATTAATATGGAACCATGTTTACCTGTTTTAATGTATTTAAGTAGTGGCAATAGTTGACAGCAATCAGTGCCTTGCAAAACTGAGTGAGTCCAAACAGTAATACCTAACAACAAAAAATCCTCAACTGAAAATACCCACTGTTTATCAGTGTGCAGAAGGTACAAAATCTATGTGAATACAGGTTACGTGGTGCAAGTGACAGCTTTTAAACCGGCAGCTCATAGCACTGGTTCTGTCCTACTGAGGTGAGTTTCAAACCCACCCACCTCCCAGGTGAGAACTGTAACTGTCAGGTATCAGCTGATGGAACTCACAAACCATGCTGCCTTATGAACTTTGGAATGTGTCCTGATGATTTTAAAGTGTTTCTTTGTTTCAGTCAGCACCATTACAGTGCTGCTGGAATGCAACAGCTATTCCATTTCACCTCCCTTTCTTTTCAGCTCAGTGATCTAAAGAAGCTTTCGCACATAGATTTGTGCATGAACCAGTTTACAAGCATCCCTTCAGCCATTCTCAACATGCCAAACCTCGAATGGTTAGATATGGGGGGGAATAAACTCCAGGAGCTTCCTGAAGCAATTGACAGGTAAATAAAGCTCAAAGATGTTCTAGTCTCAACTCCATTGCATTGAAATTCCCATTATTAAAAATCCTAATTCAAAAGGTTATTTCAATGTTAACTTCACTGCAAACTTTATCAGCCCTAATGTGATGTTTTGGATGAGCTGGGAAAAGCCATTCAATAAACAACAAATTCAGTATCAAGTTATAATTTCTTGCCAGTGATGTTTTCGACCAGAGGTTAGGTGATTATCTGGGATATGGGGTTTCCTTTCAGAGCTGTTGTATTCTTTCTGAGAGTTCTTTATGTGAAAATGAATTACTTTCTATTAATAATTGATAAGTTTTCTAAATCTTGATTGACTGCATAAATAACTATTTTACAGAATGGAAAATCTCCACACTCTGTGGCTCCAAAGGAACGAGATAACCTCATTGCCAAAAAACATTGGTAATATGAAAAATCTTAGTACTCTTGTTCTTAGCAACAACAAACTTAGGAATATTCCAGCGTGTATGAAGGACATGACAAGTCTGAGGTAAGAAAAAGTGACAGAAACGTAAAGGCAAATACTAGCAGATGAGTTTTAAAGCCTCCCTTGAGCTGTGTATCATGGAGTGATAGGAAGGAAGTGGGAAAAGCATGTCCACAGTTGTGCAGATAGACACGATAGCACATAAACCAGTATAATCACACAGGTTCACAACAGCTGAGGATCTGGTTAAGAACACTTTGTGCATCCTCACTCATTTGACAACGTGACCTTCAATAGTTACAGTCCCAAACGAAGAAGGAGACTCTACATTTTCTCATTTCTAACACATTTTCTCATCTCTGAAAGGTCCAAAGGCCCACTTCTAATTGTCCTTTGCTGTCACTCTCTAAAGCCAAGAGCCAGGAGAGGAAAAATGACACAAAGTAGACCTTTGGCACTGAATTCTGAACTGTTCAGAATGAAACAAAAAGGCTCAGGTGAAGGATATAGATAAAACTCTCCTGTACTTCCTCTGAGAGATACAAAAGGAAAGGATGGACATTTTTAACTGGTAGAATCAGAAATACTGGTTTGTATGCTGTGAAAGTTTCCTTTGTTTGCATTTTCCCTTGGATTACTGGAGCTGGCTGCTGGAGAGGAAGAACACTAGTCGAAAATCACATCTAACCCACTAAGACAATCGCTGTTTTCAGCTGGTTTGGAAGCAGCAGCAACTCTTTAAACAACTATATCAAGCAAAGGCCCAGGGATGGCTTAGTTTACTTCATGTTGCTGCTACAGTGGTGAGCTTAGTCTAGGAAAAGACTTCTCTTGCTGAAAATAGTGTTTGAGGGATCTTAGTTCAGTTTCAAAAGAGTTGTTCTCTCTGGACAAAACCTATTACAAGAGTAACCTTTTCTGGTGAACTGCCAGATTTGTCAACTTCAGGGACAACCCCCTGGAGTTAGAGGTAACGCTCCCTCCCTGTGAGAATGCAGAAGAGGAGGAGCAGCAGGAAATGTTCGGCATTGAATTCATGCACGTGTATATCCAGGAGTCGCTCAAGAAAACAGGTATGGCTTTTTATTAACCCTGATCTCTCTGCAGTCCAGTGAGGAAGGATAAGCTGGATAAAGCAAGCCAGGATATGTATACAGATGAAACAGGAATAACCTTAGTAAATGAGTAACAGTCTCCAAAGAAACTGTGAACAGATTTTTACTGAGGGTAAGGGTGAGTTTATCAGGAGTTGGCCCCACAGTGTTCCCAGGAACAGCATGTATTCCAGTAGGAACCTGTTGGAACCGTGCAACACTGGAAGTAGTTACCTACAGCCTGGTCACTGCAAGTTGCTGACTGGCTCTTGTATTTGTGATTTAATCAGTTTACACAGTGTGGGTCTTCCAGCAGGGTTTGTCTCATGAACCTCAGCTTCACCTATTTCTTGATGTTGTCCAGACGGTGACTCTCAAAGCAGCACGTAAGGGGGAGATGCCCATGATAAACACGTTTCTCACCACTTGCTTCCCCTGACAGCAAATCCAGTCACTTAACCAAAGCACACCCCCAATTTCATCCCATTCCTAGATCACTTGTGACTGAAAAAATGCTGTTTGTAGTCCCAAAGGTAACAGTTAAAAGGTGCAGACAGAGCCTTGGGTGACATGGGCTAGGGTGAAGGCACCCCTGCCCGTGGCAGGGGGTTGGAACTGGATGATCTGAAGGTCCTTTCCAACCCAAACCAGTCTGGGGTTCTATGATAAGAAGCACTTCTGAACACATGTGCAGGTGGCAACTGTCACTTGCAGAGAGAATTTCACTGCACCTAAAATGAAGATCTGAGGGAACATTTTATATCTATTGTGAAGACTTAAAAACCTGCAGGACTGAAATGCTCTTTAGTCAGAACACCAAAGCAGCTTTCTTCTTCATCAGTATTTCATGAATGAATAACAGATTTGGCCAAAATACATCAAGATGAGAGTTTACAAAGTTTTTTTCCTTAACAGGCTCCCCTAGCAGCACGGGTAGATGGTTACCTAGGCCTACTTAAACACTTTAAGAGGAAATACAAAGCTATCTGAACTTCAGAGTGAAAATAAAGTGTGTTAACTTCTCTTATTTTAACCCACTGTCTTCCAGGAAATGTGGAAAGCACGACTTCTGGTCCTTCTCCTGTCATAGATGCTACTGAGTAAAGAATGTAACTGCGAATGGAAGAACATACCAGGCATACTTACTCCTAGCAAAGAGGCATACAGCAGGTTTCAAGTATTCCTAGGGATTTTATTTTTCCACTGATGAGAACTGGTTTGCATATTTGGAATTCCCAGTCACGCTGGGAAATAAAAGACCTTTTCCTTGTACAGGAAAGACTAAGACTTTTCTCTTTCCTTTTGTAAGCAACGAATTAGCTTTGTAAAAATCCAGGTAAGTTTTATAGCTGGTTTTGTGGTCGGTTCCCACCCCCCAGTTCCAAATCTATGTTCTGTCGTGTAGTTGGCTCTGGTATCAAAGATGGACTTGGGACAGCTGTCAACAGGACATTCTCCAAGGACACGGCCGACTCTATGTAATACTGTAGTAGAGCCTCGTATCCTCGTTGTTGTAGATACTCAATCCGTCCATGGTCAATGAGCCGTTTACAGAGGCAGCCTATCTCCTTCCGTTCTTCAGCCGTAAGTATCCTGGTGGAGGAGAAGAACAGTAGTGTGTGTCAGAAGAACAGTTTTGTTAGTTAACATCAGTAGGTAAGCTTAGAAAAACTATTTACAGCCCTAGAAGTTCATTTCTGTTCAAGGCAAGCATGACTGGAAAGATTTTGACAAGCACGTCCATGAAAACAGTGTTTCAAAGTAGAATATTTCTACTGATTGAAAAGTTCCTGTAGAACTTTGAGGACCCCGAAGGGTTTCAGATGTCACTAAACAGAATGTTCACTTTCTGCAGGAGCCAATTTGCTAGAAAATGATTTCCATACCCTTGTAAAGTATCGGGACCACTCTCTATCCCGCTGACTGTTTGCTCATGGTCCTCTGCGCCGTTAGTTTGCTCTTCGCTTTCTTCACTTGCGGAGGCTTTGTTTGTGGTTTCTCGCATGCCACACGTGGCCCAGCTACTCATTCTCTGAAAATAATGAAATTCCACTGGTCCAAGTCCTACTGATTTAAAGAACTCTCTGCCTACATAGTGTGTCCAGTCACACTTGTGATGGCAACACAGCGCAATAACAATTCCAGCCACAGGCTTACAGTCAGCTTTGCTGCTTTCATTGCCAGCAGAATCGCTGGAAGCCACCTCTGTCTGATCAGCCCTAGAGCGTTTTGGTGCGGGCTCTTCATTTTCTGCATCACAGCAAGTTGTGTAACTTTCAACCAAGCATCTCAAAGCAAGATCTGGGGAAAAAAAAAAAGAGACACCCCCCCCAAAAATAACCAGCAATGAACACCCTGACACGATTTATACAGCCCGCATCCTAGCTGAGAATGTACTTACCACAGAGAACAAAAGTATACAAACTAAGGCAAAAAGCAGTTTGAAAGACAGAGAAAAATTACAAGTATGCTTTGAAACCCCTAAATACTAAATTAATATTATGATACCTCTGGAGCTACCAAGGCCCTATTGTCTTGAATGTTTGTGCCACACACGTGGATTTGAATTATTCTGGTTAACAAAGTGGCACATTGTGGGAGGATCTCCTGCAAACATGCAAGTATTTGCTCTAAAAGTTTGCTATCAACCTATTTAATATGTACACGTACTTCTTAAATGCTTGACTGTGTCACCTTTGTAACAGTACCTATGTAGGTGTCATATCTGAGACGTTTTTCTCTACTTAGTAGACATAAAACATGAGAAACAGTGTATTAGTTCAAAATAATCAGGGCTGAAACAGTCTTCTCCTGTTTGCTTGGGATCCACATTCAGACAGGCAATGCAGATTTAGGAAGAAAGGTATTTCAGAGTAGAGGCAACAGTGTTAAAGAAGATACTTTCAAAACTATGACCCATGTCACCACTCAGTGTTCTTTGTTCCGCTCTATAAGAAAACAAGACAGGTTTTACTTGTTTCTAAAGTAGCCTTGCATCTATTGTCAATTTACTATTCCACTGAAGTCAGTGTATATTTAGAATACAACTGCTACATTCACCAACAAAGGGCTAGAGGGCAAGAAAAGGTTAAAAGGACAGTTTGGAAGCTCAGTCTGTTCACATTGTAAGATCTAGTATCCTAACTTTGTGTAGTTAACGCATAGATAATTCATACCTGTTGCAGCACCACACAAATGCTTCCCAATTCCTACCACTGGTAGCTTTTTCTTCTCCAAAATAGGTACCTTATCTGGAGGGGGAAAAAACCCCAAGAAAATAAACACACACACACACACAACATCCCCAACAATCACAGAACTTCTATGATTGTAATTAGGACGGTGGTGTTTCTGGATAAAGTATTTTCAGCACACTAAAGAACAGAAGCAGATGTTTACCACTGCTAACAACAGTCTGTACGTATAGTCTGTACATACAGTTATAAGCTACCCAAAGGAAAGTTTCTTCTTCTAAAACAAGAGAATTAGATGCTGCAGCTGAGCAGCACATTTAGCCCTTTTAGCCTTTCTATACCGCCTATGAAATGTAAATGTGACATTAATGCACCTCCTGATGACAGGTGTCCCCACAAATTCTATGCCACTGAGATGCGCAGCACCTCAGAGATAGGCAGGACTTCATTCTGCAACCTAATAGAAATAATTTAACCCTGCAGGCTTGGAAGAAAGCTTCATTTTGGTTTTTTCTCACCTATAATGATGGCCTGTAAGTGTATAAAAAGCACACAGCATCGTTTCTCCGAGCCACTGCTGAGAATGAGCTTCAAAACCAAGTCCATTTAAGCACATTATGTACAAACTGAGTTGATCTCCAGTATTCAAAATATAAAACTAAGACTCTGTTTCAGAATTACACAAGCCAAAAAGGAACTTACTTAAACATAAATGTTGAATATCAACTTGAAGCCTTTCAAATATAGAATCTCTCCTTTGATGTTTTCCATCCACCTGTGTAAGCAGAACAAGAAGGTCAGGAAGGGCTGGCCACTGGTCATTATCATTTGGCTCTAGCTGTTAATGCCAGACTTTTTCCCAGGCAAGGCAACACCTGCAACATTTCCAACATTATACACCCAGATTTTTTCCTAATACTTTTGGCAAAGTATGGAATGGAGGCAATCGCACTTCCAAAGCTTTTTAATATAAAGGCTTTATGTTGGTTTTGCAGCTTCAATGAAACCAGTTTAAAAATGATTCTCTGCTAATGTGACAACTTCCTCTTACCTTAAATCGTGTAGTTGCCCTTTCCACAAGCAAAAACTGAACATTTTGAGTATTCTGCAAGGCAACATCAACCCAATGAGAGAGCTTTCCTCGCCCAGCTCCAAACTCAATAAAACATCTTCCTGGACCAAGTAAATGTAATTTTTCCATGTTACCTAAAATAGAAGCCTACAAACATCGGAAGGTTATTTATGAACCCAGCAAATATATACCTGCATATTGTGAAGCCTGGTGGAAAATGATTACTTGGTCATCAATCATTCATTGGAAATGATTAATGGTCATCTTTTTCCCTCCAACTCTTTCTGTTTTGCTACAGTGTGCAACCCATCCCCCTTAACGTTCCTGCTGTCCAGTGTACACTAAAAATGCAGAAGGTAAACTCAGGCTTGCCAAATCTTACAGAAAAAGTGAACAAAGTTCCTTTTACTTCTTGGCAAACACAACATTTTCCTTTTGGGAGCTCAGCTTTACTGAGCTAATGTAAAATGATAATATACAAGTAAAACTTCTGAGCACCATCACACCACTTATCATTTCAGGGTCCTAACACACTGTTTGTTACTAACACTTAAAGCAGCCATTCCAAGGTTATATATATGCTATTATTTGAAGAGCATGGTTATATAGCATAGAGCATATCAGGTTTCCTCTGCTTGGAGTGACCAGCATCATGAATGCAGTCACTCAAACTTACAGCAGCAGAATTCCCCATGTTTAAGAACATCTATAGCTATCAGTAAAGCAGTGCCCATACCTGTTGTTTCAAGTGTTTGAAAGCAGATTCTCCATTCTTGGGGTCATTTAAGGCTTCTTGTAAAGCCTGGTGGGACAGTATTTGTTCCTGAAGGTGAAATTCCAGGCCTGCAAATGCAAACCTTTTAGGTAAAAAGTTTCCAGCTTCCAAGAGTTTCTAGTTTTGTAACATCTCACGATATTGAGAGCTCAGTCTGTAGCACTAACAAAATGGTCTGTTGGGAGCATACATCTATATATATGTTTAGTAGAGTTGTGTTGTTAACTGTAGTGGTATCTGATGGCGAACAAAACACATGAAGGGAAATCAGCTACCTAACAAAAACCCAGTGTTTTAGCATTCTCCCAGTCTAGTTTATTCCTCCACATGTTTAATGCCAAATATCTCACATTTTCATAGATACCCAACAACAAACCTAACAATGAAATAGTTAATCAACTGAAGTCAAAGCATCTTCAGCATTCAGTAAGCTCACCATTACTTGCTTTTTTCAACTTAATTATCAAGTTCTCCAGCTCTTCTTTGGACAGAGAAGAGAGAGGTACCTTTTTAAGGAGAAACAGAAAAAGAAAAGCACCACCCATAAATACAAGACCTTTTTAGTTTTGCTAACTCTTTAGTCATATCACAGATTACAACACGTTCTGTAGGGACTGAGCTTTAGAACAAGTACATTTACTTGCTCACCTGTTTTTCTGGTATTTCTGCGACATCTTTTAAACCTGCATTAATGTCTTGAACAAAATAGACCTTTAAAAAGAAAAAGAAACCCGATTATGTTAACTAGCAGAAAGCTACATTCCTCAGTGGTTTCTATCATAAGGTACATAGCAAGAGGAATCCACTGCAAAAGAAGATATTCCAAGTAAGTTCTTTCCGTACAGGCTGAGCCCAAATCCTGAGTCGAAATGGATGTTTTAACAAGGTGGGACGTGGCGAGAAGAGTTACGCTGACTCCAAACACACCTTCAGGACCTCTCAGGTGATGCTAAGGCAGAAAGACAGGCAACAAAGGCAGCTCAGTGTGAGGACAAGCGCTCGCCACGCACCCGAAACGCACGGCACCGGCAGAGGCTGCTCCCGCAGCGCCTGTCCCAGGTTCAGCACAGCCGCTTCTCTGCAGGGCCGTGGCGTTTCGGGTCTTAAACCGAGGGGAAGTAGTGCCACGGTGACACTGCGCTTACCGGCTTTGGCTTCTCCCTTGAATTACACTTCTTTAAGTGCTTTTGTAGCTGGTCTTCGTACACGGTGCTAAAATCCAAACGGGGAAAAAACTGAGTGACAGCAGTTACCAGCTGAGCTCGGACAAAGAGCAGCTATTTTACTCACTGTTTCGGATCGAGAGGACACGGAATCCTTCTCCTACCGTCTTCCTCCTAGTAACAAAGGAAAGGTTTCAGACAGCGCTCCAGCAGGCATTCAGTGCTCCTGCTCCACAGAAGCCGCCGTGGGACACCGGAGGTGCACAAAGGCTCCATTGGGAAGCAGGGGGTTAACCGGGACAAGAACCTAACGTGCGAATGGATCCTAAACCT